CATCAAGTCTAGTTTATTCATACCAAATTTCAGCTAAAACTTCAATCGGGAACGCATTCAAATTAATTCTTGAAGATACTGCTCATTTAACTGCACAGTTATCTTCAATAATTAATTTAAATGTGTTCCCGTTTGAAGTTTTAGCGAAAATTTGGTATGAGCAAACTAAACTTGATGAATAAGACGCTAAAAATATTTCATCAAAAAATTCCACCGGGAACCCCCCGAACCGCGACGGCCGGACAGAGTCTCCTAAATAAGGACTTGATTGACTTTTTTATGGAAGTTCGAGGACTTATTTTATAATTTTTCCATAATTTTTAATTTTCTTTTGATTTTCTAAATAACCCCTGACCCCCCCCCCCCTTCACCCCCACCCCCAAACCCCCCCAAACACCCAGCCCAACCCGGTAGAAACAAAAAAAAAATAGGCCCGAACCGGGCCGGTCCGCATTTTAGGGGGCCCGAGCCTGCACAGGGATTAGGGCGGTTCCGGTTGGCTCGAACCGGCCCCAAGACCGGGTACCGGGCCGGGCCCAAACAGTACCCGGCCGGGCGGTCCGACCCGAGTCCACCCCTACATCTCCCCCTCTCCAAACAATACCAAAAGCCGACCGACTCTCGAACGTTATGATCAGACATAGAATAGTCCACCCAGATAGAGTGAGACTAATCACTGAAAGATGAGATCAAAAAAGTTATTAGAGACTGAGTCAGCCTGATTAACTCCTAATAGAAACCTATCTAATGAAATAAACCAAGCAACAAATCTACCCCTTGTGTTTAATTTGAAATAACAATAACAACGGAGTTCATAATTAAAAAACTCAAAAAAAAGTAAAATGGAATGAAATAAAATAATTTTATGAATCAACCGAATTCATAAGCGCATCCTCCCTTGCAACGGCAGTCCGGCACTGCATTTCTCTAATTATTATTCTTATAATTTCTCTAAAGACGCATTAGTAATGCATATTTAATAGGGTAGAAAAAAATATACTTCTTCCGTCCCAATTTGTTTTGCAAAATTTCATATTTTAGTTGGCCCAAAATGATTTTTCACTTTTTATTTTAGGTATATAAGTAAAAATAAAGTGACAAATTTATCCTTACTTTTACATTTTTCCATCAACTTAAAGTCATCTACTTTTAAGATGAAGGACAAAAATGTAAAAAACAAGCATCATTTATTGTCATTCCTTAATTCTTATGCGGGTCAAAGTTTACAATTGAATTCCGGAGGAAGTAAGTACTCCGTAAGACAAAAACAAACTATGTAGAAGTAGTATTACTATTTCGGGAAAGCTCTTCAACGAGAACAATTGTCGTTGAGGAAGAGAAAACATGCTGAGGCAGATTCGTCTCAGCTTTACGTGGCAAGGGACAGGGCCGTGGCCCCTGATTGGCGGAGAGCACATGGTTATCCAAAACAGCAGAGGAGGTTATACGTACCTTGCCGTCAATTCACAATTTTTTGGGAAGATAAACACAGTTTTCGATCTGTGTGTGCTGCCTATCACAGTCGAGGTATAAGTGGGTGTGGCTTTATGAGGTGGAAGATTAGGACCGAATTCGCATTTTTTTTGCAAAAATGCTATTGTTACACACTTTTCATACACACCTGAAGAGTTATTTTTTGTCTGTATACAGACATAATGTATTCTCAAATATGTAATGTTTATATATAGACAAAAAAAAACTCTTCACAGACACGAGTGTGTATAAATGTGTATGAAAAGTGTGTACATCAAGTGTGGTTGTTTTTCTTGTAGTCCCTCCGGTTTTAAAATAAGTTTCACATTTTTTTTATAAAGTATACCAAAATTAAGTTTCACTTTCAAACATTTCTTTATTTGACAGATTATTTACATCACAACAGTGTCATACAGTATCAAACAGTGTTCAAACAATGTTAAACAGCGCACTCCACAATAAAGTCAAATTTATTTTCTTAATATGTGAAGACATCAGGGGCGGCCCTAGGGGGTGCAAGCGGGGCAGGCGCCCTAGGCCCAAAAAAATTGGGTAAAAAATAGGCTCAAGTTTAGTCCTTTGTAATAGGTGTGAGTATGCTGCTTTTCAGCCTAAACTAACAATTTTTCGAGTGGAATTTGTTGAAGTTCTTCGGAATAATTTTGTTGGTGAAAATTATGATCATGTTCTCTATGAAGTGTAGATTATGTAAAAAAATCAGTTTAAAGTTCAATTTAGAAGTCACATATCCCTATGAATTAGAAATTCAGAACTTTGTCGAGTGGATTTTGAAGATTGGAGATGGGGTCCTGGGGGACAGTGATGATGGAGAATCACATATCCCTATTTTGACATCCCTGAAAAATTTATTGCTCCTATGACAGATGATCCAATTGAAGCTATTGTTGAGATCACATATCCCTATTTTGAAATGCATTGTAATGATGTAATGATGTTTCTTATTTGAATTCCAGGGCAATTCTTGCGCCAACCATTGATGAAGGCAACATGATCAACGATTACATGTTGGGATTGAATCCATGTGAGGTAAGACATATTTAAGCTCAGTTTCTTAATATTAGGGAAGTCTATTTTTTCCCTATTTGTCATCTTTATACTTTTCTGCTGGATGATGAATATATTGATTGGCAGTGTGATGTGCTAAAAGCATAGTTTTTATTGTAATTTGTGTGTTTTGAACATTTGTTGTGTTGTTATTATTGTTAAATAAGTAGTAAAACTTGTTGGCACAATAGTTGCAAAAGAAGTGAATAAGTATATATGAAAACAACAAAATACAAAACTATATGTAATGTTGATTTAATTCAAGTGCTAACATGATATCTATAACATGATGACGAGGAGAAAAAAGCCCTAATTTTGAGAAAATACAATAAAAAGTACGATAGTATTTTAATTTGTGAAATACGGAGTAAAATATGAAATCACTCCATTGGAATAGAAGTCTACCTAAGGCTGCCCACAACGAGAGCAGTCAAAAGACTCAAAACACCAAATTTGATGTTTTCATGCATAATGGCCGTAACCCTAGAAAAAAAATTATACTAAGGTGTCAAGGTGAGAATCAGCAGCCTCTTTTCAGCGAGTCCGTATACCGTGCAACCGGTGCATGGTGAGCACCGTACTCCCAGAGATAAAATTCGCATGAACAATACCCTTGCATTTGTCTCAATTTTTTTCGTGATGTAAATCCTTTGTTTTGATATGTAACTCACGCTTTTGTTAAATGTAAATACAGTGTATTCAAATGTAACTCATCGTAGTGTAACCCACATTATGGAAAGTGTAAATCATGTGTAAACAAGATGTAACTTGCAGAGGAAAATTCACATGTAACTCACTCTTCAGAAGATGTAACTCGCGCTTCAAAATATGTAACTCACGCTTCAAAAGATGTAACTCGCTTATAAAAAGGTGGAACTTCAATTATTAGACAGACACATATATATACATACATATAAATTGTCTGATCATTCATGTAAGGTAAATAAAAGCAAAGATCACTTATGCCAGTAAAGAAGACAAGCCATTGGTGGAGAATTAAAGATTATCATGGGCACTAGCTAGTTAACGATCTGCTTCCTTCTCACGTTCAGCAACAAGGAGCACCGTTGCTAATCATGGGCACCAGCTGGTTAACGATCTGCAACAAGGAGCACCGTTGCTTTCTCGTACGCTGGATTAATGGAATAATAGCTGAATCCTTTTGCCGGCTTGTCTTGCTTCTTGCGTCGCTGCGTAATAACAAAGTCGGCGGCGCAAGTAACATGGGGCCCAACAAAAAATAAAAATCTCAATTATTTCTAAAGTGGTATAACTTTTTAATTTGTAATCTAATTTCTTTAAAAAAAAATATTACTCAACTTATATACAGAGTAATATATGAGCAAAATTCATATTTGTTATGATCTTTCATATGACACAAATATCACTTATATAAAAAAAAAAATAGTACGTATGAAATATCATATCATCGAAATTTTTAGATCATTTTTTTAAGTAGATCCAGTTATTAAAGATTAAGGTTCCATATTTATTATTTTTTACATTTTTAGTAATTAATATAAAAAAATAAGTTTGAATTAACACCAACAAAATTTAAATTCAAATTTATTTATTTTTAAATGGGAATGTTTGACATTTTAAATCATAATCCGAAAAAATGAATTTTGTAAAAAACAATTTATAATAATAAATGTAAGTATTGAATTTAAAAATTTTTACTAAATAAATATATTGAGGATGTTGGATTGGAGAAAAAAAATTAATTAACCGAACACATATGAATTGATTGAGTCGTGAAATAGAGAGCTGGCCCTGGGGAAACCCTAGGCGGCCATCCCCAACCCCCTTCAAGATCCGATTTTGGAAGATGAAGACATTCTCTATGCAATGAAAGATCGAATCAAATGTTTTTCTATGCTTTCACTTCTTTTCAATTTCTATTTTCAAGGAATTTGGTCCGGCTTCTTCATTGGCCGAGAATTTTGTCCGCTTCATGTGAGCGTGTAGTATGTTATTCTCCTAGCAATGTCTAGAGGCGGTGCCTTTCTAATCAGTGTAAACGATCTGGTGAAGCCTTTTCAACCTTGTTGTTCTGATATTTCAAATACTCGCCCACCACCTGAACCAACGCCTCACTCTGGGAAGAAGAAGATGATCAAGCGGATCTCCTTTTCGGTGGCTGGTCAAACCGATGCTTCAAGAAATTTCTACTCGATTGATTTCCCTTTGTTGGTTGCTGATCAAACCAATTCTCCCTTTCCGGTGTCTGGTGAAGCCGGATCTTTTAGTTGTAATTTTTTAATTTCTCTTTGGAGTAGCAAGAAGATCAGCAAGACTGTTTGACTAGACTACATTATTTCGAGGTTAGCGATCTAGAAGGATTCATTAAATCTGTTTCGTTCTATGTCTCATCTCATTGTAGCATCAGACTAGACTATTCATTCTCTTGTATTTTTGCGGTGTCCTTATAATAAATTAGTTACTCGTATTTGATTTTCCAAATAAAAAATGAATTGATTCATTAGGGAGGGGTTGTGGACTTCTGGTTAGCTAAACACCTTAGTACCGAGCACACTGTAATTTGCCAAATTGGGGATGAACAGTAAAAAGTGGGGTTGGCAGTGGCGTCACGGGGAAGAAGCTCGCATCCTTTCTTCGGTATCTACCTCCTTTGCGCCATCATAGCCTTCAATGCGCCGGTGGCGGAACAACCCATCCTACGCCCCCCATTTCCCTCCCCATTCCCAAGTAACCACCTCTCATCTTCAATCGGCTTCCTCAACTTCTCAGGGGCAGGGATTTCCCGGAGAACCATGTCCAGAGCTCGAGTCTACGCGGACGTCAACGTGCATCGTCACAGGGATTTCTCGGATTATGAATCATTCCATGTGCAGTGGGGGTAGGTACAGCATTATCCGATTCTTACACCCTAATTACGGTTCATTACTTTCCTTTGCGGTGCTATGTCGTGTTTTTCTTAAGAAAGCAAGTTTGAAAATGATCAAATTGACACTTTTCTTAACTGTGGGTATGAACTTTGGCTATTATCATGAATGTGAACTCTTCGTATTTTATTCCAGTGATCAGCGGGACTACAAAGTGATTCAGAAAGTTGGAAGAGGAAAATACAGTGATGTATTTGAGGGAGTTAATGTCAATAGCAACGAAAAGTGCATAATTAAGGTTCTGAAGCCCGTTAAGATGAAAAAGGTTGGACTACTAACTCTTATCTCTTGTTGGGGATGACACTGAGTCGTATTGGATAATTTGGATGGCTACTCACTATTGGTCCGTTTGATTCTAGGTGAACCTAGGTTCTTATGTGGAGCAAGTTATTTTTTAAGCTCACCTCATTGTTTACTATTTAATGATAAGAACCTATGTTTTTAGAGACTCTGAATTAGATGTTTCTGGAGGTAAAATTCTCTTTATAAGAAATTTTAACTTTTCACTTGCGTTAACCTAATAAGTATGGAGTAATAATTATCCAAAAAACATCTGTTATATATGCACGTGGATTCCTTACGTTAATCTGATTTTTACTAAACTTAGGTTCAGTTAAGTTCACCAGGTTTGCTTAATTTCACTCTACGCCAATAGACTGTAATAAGTGTTTAAAGTCAATTCTTCATCTAGAGTGTTTACAAAAAGGATAAATGCAGAATAGAATAACATAATATTCCTATTAAGAATGCTACATTTTATATCCACATGCTGTTTTTGCATTTTTCTTTCACATTTCAGTTTCATCATTTGTGCTTCTCTTGTTTTATATTTTAAATTTTAATTATATGTATTGAACTCTGAAATGGCATGTGAAGTGTGGCTTAACATTGGTTTACTATAATTATCCCACATAGATAAAGAGAGAGATCAAGATATTGCAAAACCTTTATGGTGGGCCAAATATCGTCAAACTTCTCAACACAGTCAGAGATCAGCATTCCAATGTTCCAAGCTTGATATTTGAATATGTGAACAGTACGGATTTCTCAGTGTTAAACCCCACATTAACCCACTACGACATAAGCTACTACATGTATGAGCTTCTCAAGGTAAATGGTAAAAATCCATTGGTTGTCTCTTAGTAAAGAATGAGTGATTTCATAGTTGTGAAGAAGATTTTTAAATTGACAGTTGACACTTGTAGAAGAATTTTGAACGTTTTTTAATTCTTAATGAAACTGCAGGCATTAGACTATTGTCATTCACAGGGAATTATGCACAGAGATGTGAAGCCTCAAAATGTTATGATAGACCATGTGTTGCGAAAGCTTTGGCTGATTGACTGGGGTCTTGCTGAATTTTATCACCCTGGAAAGGAGTATAATGTTCGCGTGGCTTCGAGGTAAATACCAACCATTAAGGGTCTGTTGGGATGGGGGATTGGAGTGCTACACTATCTTCATGTATACTTCATGCTTGATATATCTTTCAAAAATTGAGAGAATAACATAATAGGTGATCAGATAATATGTCATTCACTCTTTATTGTTCTCTAAAAAGATTTTACTTATCAAGATATGGAGTAAGCCCTCCAAGTCCTTCGCCCCCACACCTTCCTCCTAACTGGCTTAATGGCCCCAGTGGACCACTAGCTTTGCACTGGATCACTTTAGTTATGTCATTGTATCTTGGTGTGTACATAGTAAAGTGACTGAAAATGGATATATTGGTCTCTTCAGAGGTTCGCAGGGAAGTTGAAATCAAAGGATAGAGAATGGGGTAGCCAGTAAGAAATCCATAATAAATTCCAACTACAATGAGTCAATGACCAAATTTATTACCTTCAAGAATTAATTAGAACACATAAAGTTATTTCCTTTTAAAAAAAAAATTAAAACAATAAACCAATGAGCCCTTAGCTTTTTGAGTGAACTGAATAATGTCTATCCAGAAATTTGTTCAATGGACTAAATAAAAAACCATAATTTATCTACAAAGAAGAAACTGTAGCTTATGTCTTCCCTCATGGTGGTACTACCTACTACACTAACAATTTAAGCTGGTTTGCCTACTGAAGCCATCATTGTACTATGATTGTACAGGTATTTTAAGGGTCCTGAACTTCTGGTTAACTTGCAAGACTATGACTATTCTTTGGATATGTGGAGCCTAGGCTGCATGTTTGCAGGAATGGTAAAGAAGTGGAGTAAATAATTTATGATTTGCTTCTTTTCTAAAGAACAACATCCAAGCCTTTATTCCCAAAAGATTCTTTTTTGAAGAAGAAAAGGAAAAAATATTACTTCTAGTTCTACCTGATTATCTTTACTCTTTATGCAGATCTTCCACAAAGAACCTTTCTTTGGTGGACATAATAATGAAGACCAGCTTGTCAAAATTGCCAAGGTATTTTCGTTGAAAACCATAATCATGTTTTATAAAGTTGGTTAAATAAAAGGGTGCAATATTAACCTTTGGATGGAGTGTTTAGATGCGTTAGTAACACTTCCCTTACTATCATCTCTCAACACTCCATCCAAATTAGAGGACTTATATCCTCTTTTGTAAGAGTTATTTGGCTGATATTGGGTAACATCCAGTTTAACCATACTGTTAAACAAAAAGCTACTTATTATTCCTTTTTATGACCATCAGAGGAAGTAGATTATGGGCACTACCAAATGAGACCTTAATTTGTTAGCTGATACTACTTTGATATCTGATGGACTGAATGCTTCATTTTAAGGTCCTTGGTGCAGACGGATTGAATGCATACTTGCAAAAGTATAATATAGAGCTTGATCCTCATCTTATGACCAAGGTTGGGAGGTATGGTATTTTCTTGTTTTTAACATCATATGTTACATCGAAGTGACTTAAATGCTAAAAGTTGGTCAGAAGTTGTGTACTTCATATTTTTATTTTCTAAAAAAGTTTATGGGGAGTTATATGACCTGTTCAGGGACAGCCAAAAACCGTGGTCTAAATTTATGAACGTCGATAATAAACATTTAGTATCACCTCAGGTAACGTTTTGACCTAAAATTTAAGTTATTATTATTCGGGGAAGAACAAATGCGCATCTGAACTATATGCCAGACACCAAATATACCCCTCAAATTTCTTTGGCAACAATTTAACTCAAAAAAATGTAAAGTTCGAACAACCACACCCCTATGTCGAATAGTTGAGGAATAACTGTTCTCTGTTATATAGTTCAAGCACGTATTTGTTCCAACAACAAATTTTTGTGTTTCATTGCTCTAAAAAAGTTCAGTGGTATATATGTTCTTTGACTTGTAATTCAAGAATATACTCCCTATTTGTTTTCTCTGTTATTATTAAAGCTTTTTACATGGAACTTTATTTCATTGATGTTGAGGTTAACATACAGGGCATTGATTTACTTGACAAGCTTCTTCGTTATGACCATCAAGATAGGCTGACTGCGAGAGAAGCTATGGTAGTCCTAGTATCCTACCCGCTTATGCCTTGTGAACTCTGCTAATTTCCCATAATTTTTGAATTTCATCTTAAATAACATCTTAGAACATGGATTTGTATCGTTGTTAATTAACACACATATTTTTCAACTCTGTAGTCCCACCCTTATTTCTTGCAAGTGAGGGCTGAATTGTGAGTTATGAAGCTCAATCATCTGGTCTTCCCTTGGTCGGTCTGAATTGTGAAAGACCATTGGCATGCTTCTAATAATTTGCTTCTACTGCCGTGTGATATTATGAGTTACAACGCATTATTTGCATGGGGAGCCATGTGGGGCCGTATGGACGCTTTTCTGGGCTGGACGTACCAGCAAGCGGCAATGCCAGTCGGCTGCAAAAAAGAACTGATCGCGCAAGCTGAGAAGTCCAATAAAGTGCTTCACTTGGAAACTGAGATTGGAAATCGATGAAAAGTCCAATAAAAAAGTCTCACTTGGGAACTCAGATCATAAATTTTATTAATGCTTATTTCCTAGCTCTAGTTTTGGTATGTATTTCCTTTTTTTTTTCTTTTACTCCAGGAGGCGTCTAGGGGAGGGGGGCTGGGGGAGCCTGGAGTAATCAGTGCTGAAACTCACTCCATTGAGTTTCAAACCCGAGACCTCCAGTAAGGAAGAGTGAGTCCTTGACCAGATGAGCTGGACCGCTTCCTCAATTCTGTTGTGTTGTACAACAATTTTTTCTTTTTATGCTGAAGACTCTTGTCGTAGCTATAATGCTATATGAAGGTCTCTTATATTCATATTCTTAGTATATGGAGTATGGATTTGCACATTTATTGGGTTTTAACTATTGAGTTGAGAATTTGCCTTAGATAAGAGTAAAACATACTAAAAGTTCCATAATAAGAGTTACTCATTTTTATTCCCAAAATAAGAGTTCACATTACTTATTTACCCTTCTTATCATAAAACTATCCAGTCCCTAATTAATTTGAAAGGCCCAGCAACTTAGGGGTGGACCGGTTCCGGTTCGGGCCTGGGCCCGGCCAGGCCTCGGTTCAGAAAAAGGAGGCCCGAGCCCGAACCGGTGGTGGGCGGTTCCGGTTCCGGTTCCGGGCCAGAACCGGGCCGGGCCGGGCCGGGCCACCCGGAATGTTTTTTTTTTCTTCTTCTTCTCTTATTTAACCCCCTACCCCTCCCCCTCCACCCCAAACCACCCCAAACCACCTCAAATGGCCCAAAATACCTAATCCAACCCAAAACTTAAAAAAATTTCAAAAAAAAAAAAAAAAAAAATTAAATTCTGGCCCGAACCGGGCCCGGCCCGGCCGGTTCACTAAACTGGAGGCCCGGGCCCGGACCGGTATACCACCGGGCCTGGAGGCCCGAACCGGAACCGAACCGGTTGACCGGGCCGGTCCGGGCCCGCACAGTAGCGGGCCGGTCCGGTTCCGGGCCGGTTGGCCCGGCCCGAGTCCATCCCTACAGCAACTAGCTCGTGAGGCTTGTCCGTTCCTCTCTCTTGCGCATCATCGAAGAGGCAAAGAGATGACCTTGCTGCACCGCTATTCCGGCGAAGATGATACTTTCTTCTTTGACGAGATCGATCGTTCATCTCCGGTAATCTTCTTCCTCTCCTCTACTCCTTCTCTCTTCTTTCTTCTTCTTCTTCTCCCCCCTTCTCTCCTTCTCCCCCCCTCGTCTGCCTTCTCCCGTGTTGTTCTTCTTCTCTTGAATTTTTTGTTACTCCATTAATTTGCTTGTTTCCATTTGAGATTCAAACTGAAAAATGATATTCTAGATCTGCAAATTTTGGATCTCAAAATGAGAGACTCCAACGATTTAGACTAAAAATTTTAGATCTGTTTTTTATTTTGTTCTTTATTCATACTAATTCATATTTTAAAATATTCTGGGCATTTTTAAATCTAAAAAATGGAAGTTCGAAAGATGGGAGTGCCATTTTGATTTATTTATTTTTAAAACATAATAGTGCCATTTCTGATTTTTTTTAGAATTGATTTATTTATTTATTTTTAAAAATACCATTTATGGAATTATATAGTGCCATTTCTAAAGTCACAAAACGATATAATTTTATTTTTATTTGAACATTATTGCTTTGGAGGTAATGGCATTTATGCAATTATATAATGCCATTTTGTTTACACCTTGGGCAAACAGTGCCATTTTTTTTGGAAATTATTTTATCAATATTTTAATATTATTTTCAATGCCATGTTTTTGTATTATGAATGCCATAATTTTTTTTTACCCAAAATGCCATAATTTTTAAATCCCAAAGTGCCATGTTGTAGATCTTGAAGTGTCAGAACATGTCAATATTATTGTGAGGATGGCAACAACACGAGAGGTGAGAAAGAGTGCCATGGGATGTGATGGTTGCGGTGTAGATCCAGTTCGCGGCGGCCATGGCAGATGAGATGATGCCAAAGAAGAGGCGACGATGGTGATTGCAGAGGCGGCGGCTGGTGGAAGAGCCGGCGGTGGTTGGTGGTTGTACAGCCGCCGGCGACGATGGTAGCTGTAGAGGTGGCGGAAGACTGTGGAATTGAAGAGCCGCCATTGACGGTGACAGGGGTGACGGCCGGTGGTGGAAGAGCTGCCGGCGACAGGGACTATGGATACGGATGAGATAGGTGACTGGCGGCAGAGATGGAGCACCATGTGCCCTGGGTTGTCCGGTCTTGTACCGCTTCATTTGTATCTGTTACTCCGTATTACGGTATTCCATATTATATTGCTTTAAATAAAAGAAAACAAATAAAAGAAAACATAAATCTGTCAGATTTTATGTTTTAGCTCCTACGAAAGTCCTAGGTCCTACTTTTGCACTTTTCTAATGTTTTACTCTTAGTTAGGGAATTATCCCTTGAGTTAATAATACCTGATATACCGAAACTTGGTCATTTAGATTTTAGAGGAATTGTCGGTTCTTAAATATTTATAGATAAACTGAAACTACTCGAAGATTGCTCATTCTATGTGTCTAGTGCACCTAGGGATGGACTGGGCCCGGGCGGCCCGACCCGCGACCGACCTAACCCTTTACTGTTTTGGCCCGACCTGATTTTTCGGTACTGGTACCCGGCCTCGGGGCTTGTTTTTTGGGCCCGGTTCGGGCCCAACGAATATTTTTTATTTTTTTCATTAAATGGGTGGGTATTGACCCGGGCCTGGTACTGTTTGGGCTCTGATTCGAATCGGTACGAAAGCATATCGGCCCCAATTTTCTAGAACTAGTACTGTTTGGGCCCGGTCCTGGAGTGGCCCGACCTGGTCCATCCCAAGTGCACCCCCGTTGATTGATGATCCATGTGTCTCCATAGGATATTAGGGTGTGGAAAAGATTATCGTCTTGGATGGCAACACATATGCACACGCACTTGTTCTAGAAATTAGGGATGACAAGAGGCGGATCTGGGACGGGTATACATAAAACCGAAATCGTCCCATTGGATAAAATGTTTGCCTCGAAACCGCCCCATTCCCCGTTCGGGTAATTTTTATTTGAACTGTACCCGTCCTAACGGGGAATCGGTTTATCCACGGGTAACCGTTTTCCGAAATGATTCCAAAATTACCAATTTATAATCCTACTTGTTAATGTAAACATCCTTCGTAGTAAATTTTATAATCAAAGGACCATAAAACATACAAAAGTAAATATTCAAGCAATCAAGCAATTTTAGTCCTCAACTCATTAGTATGAGAAGCACCAAATATCTCTTGTAACATAATAAAAAAGTAGTAATCATCCCAGAATTTAAATTAAAAAAAAGGTTTAGGCCTAAATTTAGTTTTAGGCGTAAAAAAGTCGTAATCCTTCGCAAAATCAATTTTAGGCCTAAATTTGTTACACCATCAAATTAACGTTCAACACTTTGAAAAGTAGTAATCCTTCGCAAAAAAAGTTATGTGCCTCTGGTGTATTATTCTTATATACTTATATGATATATACGATTTAGTGTACACAGTTTAGCACACATACTTATTATTATTCTTATATATAAAGATTGAGTTAGTGTACGGGGCAGTTTCGGGGCGGATAACGGGGAGGATTAGTATAGAATCATAACTGCACCATTATCCATTTAAAAAAATCGGGTATTCCCCGCCCCGTACCATTTCCCAGTCAAACCGGTTTTCCCCATTTTGACCAAATCGGTTCAGTGCGGGTATCTAACGGGTCGACCGAAATTGACATCTCTACTAGAAATACCTCATCTAGGTCGCAAGAGCTATGTTTTAGTTTTCGGTTCTCATTAAGAATAATATGGTTACCAATTACCATTATTAATTTTTCTTCTTCTCTTTGTCTCTACTTGGAATATTAAAGCCATCACTAATTCACTAATATTCAATATTTCAAGAAAGTGCATAAATATTAGGGATAGTTGCAATTAGATATTCTAACAATACAAATGTTCATCATGAAATTTAATTACTTCGTATATTTCAAAGTACAATTACTTGTTATGTTTTTTTCTATACGATTAATTTTTAGAAGAACAATTATTTTGATATGAAATAAGAGCTAGGCTATCTGGATTTGTTTCTTAAAATTCTTTTTTATCTTTGAAAAGACAGGCCGATATTGGAATGTGTGAGTGGAAGTGCACAAATGCTTTTAAATGCTTCAAATTACTCTTAGAAGTGTCTTTTGAGAAGCGGTGGGAAACCAGTTTCTATAAAATAGATTCTGATTCTATTGTTTTAAAAAAGAAGGAGAAGTCAAATGAATTTCAAACACTCCTAAATTGACTAAACGACTTGTTACGTAAGTCTTAAATTGTCCTAAATAAAGGTCAATAGTTATTGAAATGGTAATAAATACTATCCTTTTTATATCTAATAGTGCAACTATTTTGACAGTAATTATTCCAAGATGAAAGTAAATACATTCATACTACTCTTATTTTGAAAAGAACAAAACATAACCCTTCTCTTTTGCAATTACAAAACGTGTTTACTCAGGCTTATGTTTTGAGGTTAGGTGGACGAATTACTAGAAAACAAAATATTTATGGGGCCAATGCCAATTTGTTTTCGCAATATCCTTTTCATGTACATTGTACATGATGGATTCCTCTCATCCTATGTAGCACCGATACCGGTACGCGGAAACGCGGAAACGCGGAAACGGGTACGGGGATACGTCAAAACCAAAAAAAGTAGGATACGGATACGGGGCCATATTTATAAATATTAAAAGTTATGGGGGTGTATTTACAAATATTAAAAGTTATAGGGGTCTATTCATAAATATTAAAAATAGATTTTTTTTAATATATATATATATAATATTTATAAATATTAAAAGTTATGGGGGTGTATTTACAAATATTAAAAGTTATACGGGTATACACACACACACACACACACACATATAATATCCTATGATGTCTACCCATTCATTGCATTTAAGCATTTTCCTTTTTCAAGATACTTGGTAATAAATTCATAATATTTCTCATATACACTAGTCATCTCGAAATATAAATATAGTAAATAAGTCATTAATTTAAAATGAGAAATAAGTCAAACAACTACAATCTTGAAATTAAAAGTGCAAGTATCCAATTCGGAGTATGAGTTAATGACTTAATTCGGATATAGCCATATAGGCCCATTATTTGATTACCAAGTAAAATATAGTTTTAGATTTTCATTTTTGTTTAGAATTCTATTAAGTAAATTTTGGGATTTTTTTTTTAAAAAAGTTGATACGGGTATCCGTCAGGATACGAGTATCGGAAACTTTCAAAAAATTACAAAAAAAAAATGGAAACTTTTAAAAATTGCAGATACGGCCCGGGAACGTACGGTACGGGTATCCTAGAGTATCGG